TTCGTCCTCTCTCTGTTTTATACTTTCTGTTATCTAGGGCAAAACTGGGCTCTATTTTCCCATTGAAAGTTTCAGAAAATCGCTTTTAACTTTTGAATAAGATATCGGATCGGGCTGAAACTTTGGCATCTAGTTGTGACCACTAGCGCCACGTTTGGGCAGAGAATGAGCGCGATGCCTAGTTTATTTTTGCGGTAAGAAAAAACAAAAAAACTGGAAATGTTTTTCTGACTCCCTGCGTATTACAAAAATATTAGCGCAAAAAAAAAAAGGACAAGGAAGGACAGAAGAGGTCAAACACTACTTTCAATTCACGTTTTAATAAAACGATAAAGCACAAAAAAGGACGAAACTAAATTGATATAGAATAACAAATATAACAAAAAGCACAAAGGATTTAGAAGAGCAATAAAATAAAAAGAAGTTAATCGAAAAAAAATTCAAAATAACAAAAAATAATTAAAAAAGGAAAACAAAAGGAGGAGAGCAAAAACACATTTTAGAACTTAAGGAGGTACCTAGAGCCACTAAATGATCTGCGCTTAGAGTATCGGCACTCCGTTCCTCGGCATTGCTGTGGGCGTCGCCATTTTGGCTCGTATGCAGAGCAGACGCAACTGCCGATGGTCATGATTCAAAAGTGTGACTTCCTCAGCATTAGATTCTGTGTTAGGAAGCTCATGTAATATTGCTTTCCTCTGCCTCGAACTGTTTAAACAATTGTGGAGGGCGGAAAAGCGTTTCCCGTGATTTCAGATAAAGGTTCAGATAACTGGCAACCATGATTTTAAGACACAATATGGCCAAGTGTCGTTACTCTGAAGCGTAGCTTATGTAGTGGCACTAGAGGTACCGTATTTCCCTGAATGACAAGTTTACTGCTGGCGCGCTTATGTAAGATTTGTTTCTTGCTGCGAGGGCCTTGGCTTCATAAACTTCTTTCTTTTGTCGTAGAAGCGCCTCAGAACCCCGGCACTTGTAAACAAGTGAAGGATAGTGGGTGTAGTGCGCCCACTGTCCTCCACGTGAAAGGCTAGGTAACCTGAAGAGAAGGACCTTCGGCTCACCTTCAAAAGTAACCATCTATGCCGGATGTACTCGCCAAGATCGCAAATCAGACTACCCTAGTATGATTCGGTTCAAAACAAAACTTGCAAAAAAGACGAATTGTTTCCAGTGTCTTAGCGCGGCCCTAAACAAGTCCTGTTTTTATTCAGCAGCGTTGAGCTTTGATGCTCAAGTATTACGGCCTCAAAGCTTCCGGCTTCCCCCTCTCAGTCGTCGCTGAATGCATGATCACATTCAATCGAACAAGAAAGAGTAGAAAGAAACGACACAGACCTGCGGTCGTCCCATACATGCTTGGCAGCTCACACAGCTTCAAGAGAGTCGCATCCAAGCATGATGTCCGGGTGGTGCTATCTGTTGCAGACAAGCTAACCAGGCCCTGCCCCACAAGAAACTCACAGCGCAACAAGACGGACAAATGCAGCGTGATACCTGCCCACAGTGCATAAACTGTGACTGCAGAGTTGTGTATGAGATTAGTTTATGGGAGTGAGACCGGACGATGCGTCAACATCCAGCTTAGGGAGCATGAGCATTCCCTGAAGCACTCCTTGTCAGGTGACTTAGTAACAGGGTAGCTGGCAGGGAGGATTTAAGGGAAAGTTTTCCCCGTCAGATCTCGAGTGGCAGGCAGTCCCAGCAGTGAGGTGTGCTGAATTTTCATGACCTAGAGACGCTGAACCATGAACTTGCCACGCCTCTCCAAGGTAGACTTGAAAGTTCCCAGGACGTGCAGACGTAGGTTGCAGTGACCCGACGCCTTGCTTTCGGCTTCGTCCAGGACAAGAGGAAGCCCCCGGAAGGAGGGTGAAACAACAGTGACTTCCGGGCCCGAGTAACGTTTGAACTTTAAGGTCACCTAGCCTTACATCTAAGGGACTGTGGGTGCGCCCCGTTGTTCAATAGCGCAGGGATTCTGAGGCGCTTTCACGACAAAAAAACTAAAGAAATTTGCGAAGCCCTGGCCATCGCGGCAAGAAGCGCATCCTGCATAAGCGCGCTATCAGTGAACTTGTCACGCAAGGAACGACGAAACTCCCTTATTTCATAAGCTATTTTTCTGCTCAAACTTTTGTTTTCAATTTTTAATTATTTTTTTTCGTTTCTTTTAATATTTGCACTGTTCTTTCGATTAATTTTATATCACTTCAGTCCTCTTCTAAATCCTTTTTGTTTTTCCAATTTCTTTATCCTTTAATATAATGCGGAGAGCAAGTCGTCTGCTTCTCGCGCAGGAGTGGCGGTGACGTCAGAACGACGCCGAGCTTTGATTGGCTTTCTTTGAAAGGATAGGGGGTAGGCCTCAATGCTGGCTGCCTCAACGTCTACCCACTATTTTTTTTAATCAGACAATAAGAGCTCGGCGTTTTGACATCATCGCAACCGCTGTGCAAGAAGGAGACGAACTTGCGTGCTGCATAAACTCTTATATCCCTTCTTTCCTTCCTTTAGCTTTTCATTACAACGTCAGTCGAAAGAGGCCCTTGTCCTTTCCTGTCCTCCCTTGTCCTTTTTTTTTTTTTCGCGCTAACACGTATATGATGTTCAACCAACTAGGCCTGGCCAACTAATTTTGCCCATCCATGCTCCGTTCACCCTTAAAGAGCTACTGCAACGAAATTTTCAGCGCCTATTTGTTTGTCTATGCGTGTTCAGGAGAGCAGTATCACATCAAACACCCCAATTTCTTTTTATAAAAGGCACGAAAAAGAGCTTTGAAATGATTTAAACCATTACTGAATTGAACCCCGTGGATGTCGCTAAAGCCTCGTCTGTAATATCTGTTTTGGAATGTTGCTATAGGTAATGGCAATGCCTGTCTCGCCTGGAACCAACGTTACTAGATTGCCTCAATTGTGGAACTCCTGCGGTAGAGGGTAACCCCCTCCCCCCCCCCCCCCCCCCCTCACTCACTTCAGTCCGCCTCCCGTCGTTTGAAGCGCCATCTAGGTTTTCGTTACATAACTGTGTGTTACATAAAGCAGAGCTTGAACGCCATCTAGACGCTGTGCTTCGAAACGTATGTATTCCATAGAATATACTGCAGTTACAATAGCAGCCGTCCGCCGCATCAAGGGATGGGAAGCGAGTCGTGGTGAGTGAGGGGGGCACCTACGTTTCTTGTTTCTGCAAGACCACCATAAACCCCTCCTTAGATTTAAGCGTGTGAACTCTTTGATCTCGTAAATCGCGGTGATAATGTGGGCAGTCCAAAGGAAAGACTACGCCGAGCAACTGGCCAGAACTCCCTTGTTCGACCCAGGTCTCGCTAAGAAACCCTTCGAGGCTCCGAAATTATGATCTCACCCACCAGCGAGTTACTTTTTGAATATCCATTAGGCCAATTATGGCAATGTGCTCGTCAGTTTAGAATCAGGCTCAGATACTTCCCTACCTCATGCAATTTCAATGATTTCAGTCTGGCTAGGGACGGCGCAAGAGAACTACACGAAGGACGGCTTCAAGTTCGTGAAATTCTTGATCAAGGAAGTTCTCAAACCAGGTAAGAAGTTCACCAATAATAGCCTTTTAAGCAATATGAGAACCGCATAATTATTTTAGAGCGCAGCTCTCAGGCGCCCATTTCCGGCTTGAGCGGCGTCGGCGTCGGCGTCGCCGTCGGTGTAGCCAAGGTCACCCCAAGGTCACGTGATCCCTTTCAAGGTCACCCCAAGGTGACCTTGAGAGGGATGACGTGACCTTGGGGTCACGTGATCCCTCTCAAGGTGACCCCCCTTCCGAGGTCACGTGACCTCCTCCCCCCGAGGTCAGGTGACCCCCCCGGAGCGTATTAAAGAATGAGGGGAGGAGGAGGAGAAGGAGGAGGAGGAGGGGTCTACCCTCCCCTCAGTACCCTTCCCTCCTCCTCCTCAAGAGTTGCGCTCCAATTCGGCGTTACAGGGAGTGTTAAACGGCTTTCTCTGTTTCTTTATGGGAGGTTTGGTTCACACCGTGGCCAGGTATTTCTGCTGAACAACAATATGTACCTTAATGTTGCTAACTATTGCTACTTTTGCATATACATCCTTAAAATATGCTAGCTTATAAAACAATCGCTTTGTCTCGGTTGAATAATGAGATCAATCAGATGAGCCGTTGGTTTAGATAGGCGCAATGCAAACTGTTATTTTTTCTTTCATAAATTACAGTCGAAAACATTCGGCCTTAATATTTTATTGTCATCTTCACCTAAATTTAGCCGGTACAGAATAACAGCTTTGGTAATCTATTCTTACAGATTAATTTGGAAATTTTGCCTCAAATTTTGATAGTTTTGATAAGTTTTCGTGAAACTTAGAATGTGTCCGATTTAGGCATTAATTTATACTGAAATTTAGAGAATAGTTATATCACGGCTTTGCTTCATGCGATGCAACTCTATTTTTTTAGTTGAAAATTATTCCGGGCTCACTTGAACCTCCCGAACAGCAATCATTGCTGTGTCGATGTGAAGACTCAAGCATTATAGCATTGTCGAAACAGATGTTTCCCCCCTCCTTGTGGAAAACATCTTAGGCTGTTGCAGCTGTTCCGATACAGTTACCTGACAGGACTTCTGTTTTTTTTTTGTACATTTAAACAATTTAAATACTACGAGTATGGGTTGACTAATTTTAATAATTTATTGCCTTTGGCATTCGAACACCTGTTTATCCGTATACAATATAACGTATAAAGTAACATCGGCAACTGCCTCGCAGGGAGATCGCCAATTCCTCGATTTTGCAGAAAATATAACTGGCACGATCTCCAGCCCATTCTCCGAGTCGCTTAGCGAAAACCCCCGCAAATCAAAACGAGTTACCAATGCTAACAATCTGAAAAGGGGACCTCTATTTGGTCTTCTTTAGTAGTAGTAGTAGTTAGTGGTGAGGGTAGCGGAAAGACGGAACATGTTGGCCACTCCTTTGGTGGGGGCGAGTGAGTTCCGGTTGATCTTCCTTTACGGCGCTAGTCCTTGTTTGATCAATTTTATGTCTGTGTTTGCACTGTGCCTGCAGCGTTTGAATCGCCTGCACTGGTTGCTGCTGAAAATATGACGGCGTGAAGGGGATCTGGTACCCTTTCAAGCTATTTTAGCAACATTTTGTGGAACACCTTGTGTCGTGAGACGAGTGTTTATTGCATTGCATACACTTTAACTGAGTAAGACAAATTCCCTTGTGGGACGCTGCTATACTTCACGTCATCTCAAGTCAAGACGCAGCCGATGCTGCGAGCTGATGGGACCAATCAAACAGCGTCAAAAGCGCATCATCGTGGTGTTCGTCATGTTATTGTACGTGTTCTATCATCGCTGACCAATCATAAACAGAAAAGATTCAGTGACTCGCGCTTCTGTCGCTGCTTGATTAGCTATTAGATCGTATTGTCGGCTGTGTGTGAACATAAAGGAAAGCTAAAAAGGTTCTTGAAAAAAACAAAAAGAAACTCTGAGGTGAATTCTAGAGTGTTTTTATCCCGAGAAATTAAAAATATCCCGTTCGTCTTTCCAGAAGATGTAACTACCCAAGCAGTACGGAATTATGCAAACCATTGGCCAATGGCTAAAGCGTGGCCATTCATCGGCCAATGCTTGGCCGATGGCTGATGGCCAATGGCCATTGCCCAATGGCCAGAGAAAGCCCAGTTATCAGCCAATGGCTGGGCACTGGCCAAAAGGCCAATTCCAGCCATTGACCAATGATTGGCCAAATCTGTGCTACTTGGGAAAACGCGAGAAAACAAGAAAAGCCTCCGATGAGTCGTTACGTCATAAAACTTGGAGGGCGCTTAAGCTTCGCCTTTAAGGGTGAAACGTGATAGCGTTATCGGACCGTGTTCGCATCGCCTTCGCATCGCCTTCTCATGCGCTTCTCATGCTCTCCCTATGAATGAAAACGAGGCGTGGTGGACATGGTATAGTCAGCAGCGTGTCTGGCTCGCAATCGGAGGTTCGTGGGTCCAAATCCCGCCTGAAATTCTTTAAAGTTTATTTTTTTAAGGCCAAATAACCTTTTTTTTTTTTTTCCAGCGCAAGGTCATGTGGCTGTGACGTCTTTACCCTATCGAACAATCAGGATTTTCGCGTTACGCCACCAAAGCCGGCTTTTCTGTCACGCCACCTAGGTTGGCTTTTCTGCGACACGAGCTCCTTAGCGCTTTCGTGTCGAAAGAATGTTTCAACCGCCAAGCGCGTTTCACTCGAGTGAGTAGCGTGTCCAATTGTAAGCTTGCCAGGTATATTCCTCGGCACTGACACTAGACGCGACGTTTTTTTTGGACCTTTTTGAAAATAGCGAGGGTGCGCGTGCATAGCTTTGATAGGCGCTGAAGATGCGCGGGAGCGGCGATTCCAAAACTCCATTTATGACGTGACGCTCAGGAAAGGAGGGCTTCAGCGATACTTTGAAACTGACTTTCTGCAACCTCCGTGCACCAAATTAAATAAAAAAATTATTAGTAATAATCTCGAGATTCCCGATCCTAGAGGCCAAATGAAGACGATTTAAGTGTATTTCCTCAAATAAAGAACCACTTTAGTTTTCCTTTGAGCTGAAAGAAAGTACAGTTACGCGACGGAGTCGATGGGCCCCTTCGATGTGAATACACCGGTGCTCAGGTCGCGAAGCTGAAGAGGACCTGAAGGGCAAGACTCGGCACATCAAGGCTCGTGAGCGGTGCGCCAGCTTCAACCTCGAGCTGAGCAAAGAATACGTCGTCATGGGGCTGGACTCTGAGTACCAGGAGCACGTGCAGCACGGACTGGTCCAGTAAGCAAAGTGCACCCTTTCCAAAGATGTCGCTCTCGCGTGTCGCGCCATATACTTCGAGCAAGCCTACCTCGAAGCGTCCCTCCGCGGTTGGGGAGAGGGACAAAAAAGCATGGAGTCTCCCTGCGCCTAAAAAAGGAGGCGCGATGAGGGGAGAGGGAGTGATCACGTATGCTGCTATGCTGCCTGTAACTGGGGTGTTTACCGCTTCCAAGCAACTGGTCCCTCGAGTTGCGCCCGCTGATGTCATAGAAGTGCCATGCTCGGGCCGGTGGCGATACAGGCAGTGTCCCTGCAGCGGTGCTGGATGTGACTTGTTCCGCTGCAGGTCGCTCTCCAGTGGGGCAGTCCGCGGAAGCTTCGGCAGTCAGAAGTTGGGACGCTGCGACGACAGCAACACTGGCGTTCGCTCGCGCTTTCCGCTAGCATCTCCACCACCAACCACCTGGAACGCGACATCCAACAGCATGGCACTCTGGCTTCTGTGACGTCATTTGCTGCCACTCGGGACCGCTTTTGATCTATGAGCGATATAGGGCGCTAAACAAACCTGGCAGACACGCGCTCCAGGCACCTTAATGCAACCAAGCTCCGTCCCAGTGGGCACTTCTCTTTTGAGGCAGCAAGCGACATATAGGCCGTGAGTTCTTCGTTCAGTGTAGTTGACGAAGAAAGTAAGCCACTACACAAAGTGCGCTTGACAGCAGTAGTGGTTGCGTTGTTGAAAGATGTGCTTTAGGATATTTGTCTTTAGTCGACAGCCTCGGCACTCTACTACTTTTCAAGGCGGACTCGCGTGTCGCGCAGACTTTGAAACTACGCGAGTCTTGGCCGGGGAACTATTGGACCAGAACAGAGAACTGCTTGGATTGCGCGGGCGCGGAGTTTTTTAGAAAGCACAATCGGTTGCAGACTTCGCGCGACTACCTAAAGGGATTGTTTAGGGATGCCCACTCGAATTCGGCGGTGGCCGCAGCGGAGGGAACGACTTGGTGTAGGTCCCGCCGCCTCCGTCGCTTTGCGTCCACCGAGTGCAACCGTAGTTCGTCGGCAGCGGCCCGCCGTTGACGCATTCACTTTGACCCCTTCTAGACGCACGAAGAATTTTCGCGAATTTCTTGACTCGTAAAATTCACGAACTTTAGTGGGTTCGAATAATTCTATTGTCCGTAGAGGCGAATTCCTGCCTTTAGAATTCGCGAACCCTATAATGGTCGCGAATACGACCCCGGTGCCAAATTCGTGAGAAATAAGTGTCGACAAAGTAAAGGGTGTTTATAGGATACCATGGCGTTGGTGACAAGGAAAAGGGTGGAGGGGGGCGAGAGCTCGTCTCGCCAGAGATGGCAATGTGGTGCGAGCTCAACGATGAGCGGGACAGAGTGATGGAGAGGCGGACGCTGTCATTCGTAAAGGGCAACTCCGGTCAAAACCGAAACCATAATAAATGTGTGGTATCGCTTTCGAAGCCCGCAATATGACAAAAGCCGAAATATTATGTCAAACCGAAGTCGCGTACTCTACTAAAACCGAGTATAAAGATGCCAACAGCCGCTCTTAGCGGGCGGCAAGCGAGCTAGCTTTTAGTCAGGGAGCACTGGCGCAGCACCCTCGTGACGTCACGTCGCGGTAGAGCTGCAGTTGATTGGTTGTACTATGGTGCCTGGAATGGGCCTCCGACTGATGTGTTTACCGCGTCCCAAAAAGTGGTCCCTCGATTTCCGCCTGATGATATACAAGTGTCATGATGTCGCCGGTCGTAATCCTGCGGCGTCCTAACAGCTGTAATGCATATGGCAGACGCGTGTTCTGCTGCAGGTCGCTCTCCAGTGTCGCAGCCCACGGAAGTTTCGGCAGCCAGAAGTTGGGACGCTGGGAGGACAGTGACACTCGCGTTCGAATGTGCTACTCGGAGCTTCTCCTTAGTATTTCTACGACGAGCGGCCAGGATGGCGACATCTGACGACATGACACTCTGTGACGTCATTTGTTGCCACTTCGGGACCACTGTTAATATATGGGCAGCATAGGGCGCTAAACCCACCAGTCGAAGACGCGCTTCAGGCGCCATAGTTATACCGCGTACCGCAACACCATGTTGACGACACGTCGAGGCCGTATGGCTGATAATCAGAGTTGCCATCCCTCTAGCAGATAGTTTGGGCTTTTCCTTTGACTCCCGAATTCAAATTTCGACCCGTGACATTACACATAATATAGAAAAAAAATAGACGTTGTAATTCAGGGACGCTTCTTTAGCAGAAAACGGTCGTAATCCCAAATGCAAAACTATTGGCCGGAGTGGCCCTTTAAGGGCAACTCCGGTCAATAGTTTTGAATTTGGGATTACAACTGGCAGTTGTCGTCGCTGTGCTTGCGGCCTGACTTGTAGTCCGCAGTCATGCTGAGCTCTTGTAGTCGGAGTCTCCATCGAGTGAGGCGCCCTGAAGTGTCCTTGAGGTTGGCAAACCAGCAGAGCGCGTGGTGGTCTGTGACTACGCGGAACGGGTTCTCGTACCTGTACGAGCGAAACTATCAGATTGCCAAGAACGCCGCAAAATATTATTTTTCAGTCGTGGAGTAATTTACCTCCGCCTTTGACAGTGTCCGACTGGCGTAGGCGATGACCTGCTCGGTGCCTTCTTGCACTTAAGCCAGTACCGCGCCAGGTCCTGCGTAACTGGCGTCCGTGTAGACCTCGGTTTCTGCATCGTGATCGAAATGCTGAAGAATAAGGGGAGACTGGAATCTTTTCTTTAGCTCGTCGAATGCCTGCTGCTGCTCCTCGGCCAGTTTGAGCTTCATGGTGTCCTTCATGAGGTTTGTGAGTGATGCGGAAAGTCTTGCGAAATCACGAACGAAGCGCCGAGAATAGGCAGAGCCCAAGGAATCTTCGCATGACTTTATTGTCTGTCGGCGCTGGAAATGGCGCGACGGCGCGAGTCTTTTTTGGGTCTGGTCGAACGCCTTCGTAGCTAACCACATGGCCTAGGATCTTCAGTTCGCCATAGGTGAACCTACACTTCGATGACTTGAGTGTGAGTTCGGAGGTCCATATCGCTTGGAGAACAGCACAGAGTCGTTATAAGTGCTCGTCGATGTCGCTTGACAACACTACGACGTCTTCAAGGTAGACGAGACAGCTCCGCCATTTCAGTCCTGCCAGTACAGTGTACATGACATGCTGGAAAGTTGCTGGCGCCGTGCATAGTCTGAAGGGCGTCACATTGAACTCGTAAAGTCCATCCAGCGTGACAAAAGCCGTCTTCTTTCGGTGCCGTTTGTTGACTTCGATCTGCCAGTAACCGCTCTTCAGGTCCATAGATGATAAGTATCGAGAGTGGAGCAGCCGGTATAGCGTGTCACCGATGCGGAGAAGTGGATAGACGTCTTTCTTCTTCACCGTGTTCAGCTGTCGGTAGTCCACGTAGAACCTAAGCGTTCCATCCTTCTTTTTAGCCAACACGTCTGGAGAGGCCCTCGGACTGGTTGTAGGCTGGATTAGGTCATCGTTCAGCGTCTCTTGAACGTGTTCCTTAATGATCTCCCTTTCTTGTACGGAAACCCTCTTGGTCGATCGATGCACGGGGAACGCGTCATCCTCGGTAAGAATGCGGTGCTTCGCAACCGTAGTTCGGCGCACCTTCGGCGACGTCGCAAAGCTGTCATTGTATTGAACGAGGAGGTTAATCAGCTGTCGCCGTTCTGGGCCGGGTAGCTTGGGGCCAATATCGAGCAGCGCAAGCGACGTACTCTCTTGCTGAGCTGGTAAGGATTCTTCCGCAATCGCGGTGATATCAGCGGAGTTCCGGAGTTCCTCGACGTGACCCACATCGGCCCTTTCATGAGGTATTGCGTTTCCTGTCGGAAGTTCGTCAAGAGGACTACAGTGCGTCAATCCTGAAGTTCAGTTACCCCCCCTCCCCCCCCCCCCCCCTTCGATGCCTATACCTCTTCCCAAGGCCGAGATAATGTTACCATCTATAAGCAGGGATATCACTTCAGAAGTCTTTATTAACACATAATTCTTCTAACATTTTGCTGGAAACATTTTTCCCAACCATCAGCGACACGCCACGTCCACGACCTGTTGACCTGTTCTAAAAATAGTTTTTGTACATCGGCAACCCAAAAACATCACTTTCATCAGTATACCACGTCTCTGATAACATAATAACATCGAACAAAAATGAAAACTCAGCAAAAAGCAAATCAAGCTGAACTGTTTTATATCGGGCGAACTGAGTATTTAAATGAATGCACTTCGAAGAAGCCAAATGCTCATTCCCTAAATAAGACTTTTGTTCAGATTCAATAAAATAGGTTCGTTCTGCTATTTCGAAAGATGCCACAAGAAAAAACTCAAAATTTCTCTGGTCAAATGTTGCAGGTCTGCCTCGCATTTGATAATAACTGGTCGCCTTCTTTTCGCCTCAAGAAGATCTTTCTGTTCCTGCGCCACGAGTAGAGAAAGTCATTATCCTTCGCCCATTCCTTAGTTGTCCAGAGGAGGGCCCGGTTTTCCCACGTCATATTCTCAAGAATGTAACCATTCCTTTCCTTTCGGTGGAGTCTTTTCATTTTATCAAACCACATATCACGAGTTGAGTTTTGTGAAAAACGAACAATGATGCCGGGTATTTTATCTGGTCGAGCTGACAATCGGTGCAAAGACACAATCTCATTCTCGGAGAGCATATGCACATCGTTTTTCTGCAAACAGGGTCAGTTGGGTGTTAAGGTGTTCATGCTCAGTGACCAATATTCTATGTGTTTCGAGATTTAGTGCCTCTCGAGCGCGGTTATGCATTGTACCATGTGTTATACATTTACTTCTTTCTGGTGGCCTTCAAGGCTTGTCACCCTTTTCCTTAAATCCTTTGTTCGCTGTCATGTTGAAGCACATGCTTTAGGATTTCCTCGTACTGTGTCGACATCGTGTACACCGAGAGTTCGATCGCCTAAACAGTGCCTTTTAATTCCCTCGGAGAACCTAGTCTGCGGATTATTCTTAGGATTACAGCTGTCAAGTTGCATCCTTCTCGCTCTGACTTCCCCTGGACTTTCTCGTCCTACATGTCGGGCAACACCATGCTTTTCGCCACGCTCCACCTTTAAACTTGAACGTTGACTCCGATACGCTAGGACAAGTTCCAAAGTAATACAAATAGTCACATTCTGTAGATTGAATTGAACCATCTTCATCTCGGAGTTCCTGATTGCAACATATACAGGTATCAGCCATGGCACAAAAGCATCGATACGTATTCATACTGAAAAAACATGCAAAATCAAGCAATCACTTTACTGACATAAAGGCACAGAACGGCAACAGCAGCACCAGCAGCAACAAAAAGCAACTGGCTAAGTTTAACTTATAAAAGTAATGATATGACTTTCCAACCTGAAACGATTTTAGAGAAGCGTGAGTCTTGCTCCACTGGTGCCGTTGCTGCTGCCAATACAGTCATGCTCGCGGTCGGTCGCTTCTTGTGCCACTGTTCCCTAGTGGCTTGTTGCGTCTGTAGCCGCTTGTCCAATCACGGGCCTGCGGTGGTTGCGGCGTGGATCGGCCGGTCTCTGGCGCGTGCCCTTCGTCGATGACGCAGCGTCTTGAGCGGCTTGAACGTAATGTCTGAAACGATTGTAGCAGAGCGTGAGTCTTGTGCCACTTGCGCCGCTGCTGCTGCCAAGCTCAGGGGGCTGTCCTTGGGCGTGGCGGCTAGCTCAACTTTCGGGTTCGTCGACTGGGAGTAGATTTCCTGGACATGGAAATGATCGAGCCGGCAGATCCTCTGAGGCATACGTTTCGCGGGCGCAGAATGCGGTGCGCCGCACCTCTACTTCCACTAAAATGTCATGAAGGACAAATGATAAGGCGGCGATACGCTTGTCCATGAAGAATTGTCACCCACCTGCGGAGAATTTGATAACTAGGACGGGCTCACATATTTCCTCGACACTGATATCGTCGAGTGTCGTCGTGCCGGATTATACACCGTGGGTTCAGACTATAGATCGACCACTCTGGATGTTTCGCGTCGCAGATGTTAACACGGAACTGCCCAAACCTTAACAAAAGCCTGAGCACATCTCATTTTGTGATTAATCAGTCGGCGCTGTCATACAAGCATGATTACCGCAGAGATTACATTCATGTATACTTGGATGGCTCTACGACAAATGATGGCTCCAACCTCAGCTTTCGTAATTCCATTAATGCAAGTAAGGAAAGGTTTTCGTTTGTCCCACAGAACATCCTCTACTGCTACATAACTTCATGCAATTTTTGCGTCAGTGGAGTATATAAAGGACGTAGAACCTCAAAACCAGTGGGTTATCTGTACGGACTCCAAAGCAAACCTCGGTGCTCTTTCGTCGATAAACTCTAGAAGTCCGGCATATCAAATGGTCTACCAGCTAGCTGATTTGATCCATCGGGCCATAAGTGATGATCATTCACTAAAGCTGCAGTGGATTCCCGGACATAGCGGAATCTCAGGAAACATGAAGGCAGACACACTAGTAACAAGTGCACATACTTTAAAAAGAACTCGAGGAATTCCTTTTTCCAAAACAGACATAAAGTATTTAATTGCACACGACTCCAAATGTATGGCAGTCGACATATGGTTTAATGAGGCAGGACGGCAGTTTACTCTCTTCGTGGTGGATCCAGAATTACCGTTTTATATCCCAAGCGATATACCGAGAAAATTTGAAACAATGCTTCACCGCCTGCGACTGAATGTTGCTTTTATAAGAGAATTTCGCTACAAAATTAATGAAATCGAAGACCCAAAATGTTCTTGCGTCCAGGATGTTGAAACTATGGAACACATTTTTTTTTAACTGTCCTCGCTTCGATCGCAATCGGTCCCAACTAAAAGTACGGCTTGATATCCTGGAGAAAAGACCTTTCACCGTAAGTAAATTACTAGGGCCATGGCCTAATCAAATTATACAGAAACAGGCACTCCAGGCAATAAAACGTTTTCTGGAAGACATTGATATCATCGACAAAATACTAGCTTTTGAGTTGATAATATTGAACCTTGTAAAATGAGTGAATATCAATGCGTGTATGTGTGAACAATCTAAGGACAAGTGGTAAGACTCGAAGTGGCATTTCCTACCAAGAACATAAGTGCTGTTCATTAAGTGTTTTCATCGTATGTGTCTATGTATGTGTGCACGTGTTGGTGTGCAGAACCAGTGCGTGTTATTATTCAAGGATCATTCATTGTCAGTGTGAAGTTGGAGTCGCACCCCGTACGTATCGTACGGTGCGCGGCCCACGGGTGACGCTAGGGACGTTCTGACTTTCTGCACGACGGTCCATTCGCATCGCTCAAGCAAAATTATGCTTCCGGAGGTTATGTCTTGTATAGGTAGAGTGGCGGCGCCGTCGTATGCGGGGCGGGCGATGATTGGGCGGTGTCTGCGGGCTGCGTGTTGTGGGGTCTGTAGGCGGTGTGACTTCAGCTTTAGACGGTTTTTCATTATGTTCCGTTATAGGCAGGGTAAAAGTGGGGAGGGGGTGAGGCATTGAGGTGTATAGCTGCATCTATACGTTTGAAGTGTTTAATTTCTATGTCGGAAATATCTTCTTCAATGGTAATGAAGTAGCCGGTCACGCCTTAGAATGACTAACATCTTCATTTATTATTTTTAACGCATATGGAAGAAGAAGAAGGCGAAGAACTGAAGTAAACTAAACGTTTCATGAGGCGGACTTGTACTCGAAACAAAGTAGAAGAGGCCAGATAAAAAGCACGCTGCCAACTCAGCTGTTCGCGCGCCGCATTACTCCACCAGGCTACTGGCGGAGCAATGCCATGTGCGAATAGCTGAGTCACCAGCGTGCTCGACTCCCATGCCACTGGCTGGGGTTTGATCTCCCAGCGCATGTCCTCTTTTTCTTCCTTTTGTTTGCCTCACTGGAATGCTCCAGATGACTCGAGAATCTTGTAGTTCATTCCAACCTCGAACAAACAACAATATTCTTGAGTTATCTTGAACATTCCGGTCATGAAAATAAAAGAAAGATAAAAAGGACAAGCGCTGGCGGGGATCCAACTTTGTCCAGCGGCGTGAGAGTCCAGCACGCTTTTGACTCAGCTTTTCGCTCGCGGAATTATGCATACCTCGAGATTATGCGCGGATAAATGCGACTAAGAAACGACGCCGTCTGCAGGCTAGCAAAATATTTGTGTTCGCACATAGTGTGCGTAAACAAATATTTTACGACGTAATAAATGTTTAAAGGGGCCATGAAACTAATTTTGGGCTGGGATCAATAATTTTAAAGTGGGACTTCAATAATCGCATATTGTTTAGTGGGCAAAAGATAGAGGGTAGCAGGTCAAAAGGCAGCTTTTCTGTACGAACATTTAAACATATAGCGGACTATTTCGTACCTCCTTTCCTTCGAAAGCTCTCTGCCTTTCCATTATGATACATCCCCGATACCCACAGCAGGTCAGCAGTACACAAAGCACATCAGCGGACCCCAGCTCATGCAGTGGACACAAGAACTGCGTCACACGGACGTATGCTCTCGTCAACAATCAATCCGTCGACGAGTATTTCGATTCGCGTTCGTGACCAATGAGTGCCCTGGCGGAACTTATCAGTTCAGTTTATTGTACCTCAAAAGCATTTCAAATGAAATGCATTCCATGAGACTTGACTCGTCACTTGGGAATGACAAGTTCTAGGGTGTGCTTAAAAAGCACAGTGGAAGCTTGGAGTCAACGTATCCAGTGCCCAAATAACACATGACGACCGCGTGATTCTTCAATTCGCCTTGAGTTGAGGATGAAAGTTAAAGCGGAAGAATTTACGTGCCAATGTTTTCGTCGACCTAACCATTCTGTCTCGCTTCTTTCTTCCCTTCTCCAGGCCGCTTTACATCATGGACACCGCTGCCGTGGTGTTCCCGAAGGCCACGCGGGACAAACAGACACGAGACCTCGTGACGTGGTTCATCAGGGAATTCTCAAACGAAGAATCTCGCTGTTTTACCTGATAGAAAGTGGTTGAGGGTACCACCCAAAGTAAAATAAACTTCCTGGGATACGCCACAAGACGTGTCGGCTCATGTGACGCGACCTTTTTCTATGTTTACTCTCAGCGCAACCTTGAAAAGTGCACTTCCGTCGTGTGCTGACATGAACGACACCAGAGAAACGAGTTTTATATGGTTAGTGAAGCTGGTATTCACACGGCTGACTTGTACCTGGAGAAGCTCCTACAAAATCGGTGACACCATCTTTCCTGCGGTTTTAAATCCGCCCTATTCCAGGCGATAAAATGATGCAAAACTCAGGAGCTGGTACGCGGACCACAGGAGCGTGTCCGGAGGCAAGTCCCGGGACTTGAGGAATGCAGTACATCACGTGGGCAAACATCATAGAATCGCTACGCACAGGGTACGCGGGCATGTCGTACCACGATTACCGACATTCTATTTTCGCTTTTTCCTGATCCGGCGAAGTTTGTGCAAGTTCCGCGGACTGGGCTAACTCGGAAGGAACTAATCGCGCCAAACTGCTTGCGCTACAACTGGCTATATGAATCGGCGTTGTTTTTTTCTTTTGTTTTACGGATAATTTTTAGCGTTTGTTCACATGGTTCTTGCTTGGCTTTGTTTTATGTAACGGTTGACACTGTACTATGTTTCATACTTGGTATAGAAGCTTTGCACACGTCACGGATTACAGCCGCCATTGCTAACCTTATTTCGTCTTACCCAGATGCCAAGCCACTGAAGCGGGCGTTGACGTGCCTCCACAAAGGCCAGTGCTGGGGAAGATACAGTAAAATCTAAAATGGCAGTGACCTGCCCTACTGTGGTAATAATGATGTGAAGTAAACGTAATTATAAGAAACAAAAAGAGAAGTTCGGTTATAGGGTCGCCCATGCACAGCTGCTGCAAAACGTCTTTCCATAAAATGTTGTGAAAGCTGCTGCGCGAGAGCGTGACTTAATCTATGGTTTCGTGTGTGCCAGAACGCGCGCTAATTATCTGCGAGATCAGGCCCCTTGATCGCGCCAGCAGCTCTTACAGCATTGTACACTAAGTGTGAAACAGAGTAGCTCGCACCTGATTGAACGGAATGTGTTTATATGTTGTTATTGTAATTACTCCTTACGTCACTGCTGATTGTAAAGAAGCTTTGGCACGTCACTAGCTTAGCCTCATATTACAGTACAACGAACTTCGTCCAATTGGGTATTGAAAACATACTTCTCGTATAAGAATCGTCAAAATAAATTAGGCGCTGGAGGTAATCAGACATCTGTGTCAAGTCCTTATTTCAAACTTTTTTGTTCGAGTTCGACACTCCACAGTCTGCTTCCGCACCATAAAGTCCGTCTGCTATGGTCAGCGTCATTATGGCAACGAAGCGTCTTCTTTATAGAGGACGCTTCGTTGCGTCCTTTATAAAGAAGTAATCCAAGCAGCGTTTGAAGTACTCTGCCTGGAACGCGTCTCCGACAGGCGTGTTTACTGTAGCAATATCTAGGAAGGACGAGACGAGGCCATGTCCGCTGGGCTCTAGACATGAAGCGCGTGTTTTCCCGGCGCTTCGTTCTTCTTTATTCAATGCCGTTTGCCACGTCTCTCCTCCCCCCCCCCCCCCCCCCCCGATATAGGCTACAACTGAGGATATAGCAAGTTGCCAACACATCGGTACGCCAACAAACTATGAACACAAGGGGCATGCGCACGAGGACACACATATATACATTTGAATACACACAAGCACTGAAAAGAGTCACTCTGTGAACCTCATTGGCTTTTTGATAGTCCGACCGGACCTTGTTCGTACTTCGGCGCCCTTGGAATCCGGGTCTCGCAGCGTTGTTCTTGACTTCGGGACCAGTGAGTGAGGTGACGTCTGCTCACTTATGTCTGTCGGCAGCAGAGCGCGCGATGACATTTGTTTCTGACCAGAAGTTCTTGCGGCTTCTGTACGACGTACGACCTTGGTTCTGCCCTCTTTTCGACGACTTTACCAGTTGTCGCCTCTTTTCTCACCCAGACCGTGCTATCGAGAGGTCGGTTCAAGCGTTCACACACTGCATGTCAGCTATTACAGTTTCTCACTTGTTTTTGTTTTCCTTCCTTGTCTTTTTTTCTAAATTCCTCGTGATTGGGAAGTCTCGGAATTAACATTCAGGGAAGAGTTGGTATCACATCCGATCGTTTCAATAAAAGTTGTCAGCTGAATTTGAGACATGTGTACCTAAACCAGCTCGCCTGTTTACTAGCTTTATCATCAAGAGTTGGTACCGTTGTCCTTAATTGGCGGCCCATTAGCAACTCTGCATTACTGTAGCCGCAGCTTCCCGGTGGTGTCCGGTAAGATAGAATGCCAAAGTTGGGGCAATCATAATTTTTGAGAATGTCTTTGACTAACTTTACCGTTCTCTAAGCTTCTCCATTACCCTGCGCGTGATACGGGCTGCTTGTTACATGGGTTGTCTGGTACTTCGGAACAATGTCTTGGTATAATTTTCCCGAATATTGAGGACCGTTGTCCGATCAGAGGGCAGTTCGCAGAAAGCTCGTGTTACGCTTTTATTTGCTGCTCTTCTCGTCCCGTACAAGAGACATAGCGTCCTCGTTAAGCCTTATTGAGCTCGATTCAGGGCCGCCATTATGAGATGCAGCGACGGAGGAACTTTGCTCCCGTGCTTCAGGGCCGAAAGTTTGTCTCTTTCTAAAGGGACATAGGTTACAAGACCGTTCCTCCCCTAAGGGAGGACTATCCATACCCGTTTTTCTAAGAGTGTAGTTCCCAAGAGAAAGTTCTCAAATCGCTCACACGCCCATGTTACGGCGTACGCCTCCTTTTCAATTTGTGCATACCTGACCTCTGTGTCATTTAGTCTTTTAGACGCGAATGCTACGGGTCGCACATCTTCTTGTTTGTCCTGTTGTAGGAGTACAGCTCCGAGGCCGTACGACGAAGCGTCTGCCGATACGATGAGGTGTTGTTTTGGATCATACAGAGTCAGGCTTGTGGCGTCTTGGATGTCTTTCTTTATTGCTTCCCAAGCACGCTGCTGCTGAACATCCCAGACCCACTCTATCTCCCCTTTCAGAAGATCTCGTAGGGGTTTTAGTTTTTACGTTATGTATGGTGACGACATCCCGTCACCAGGATGTCGTCCATATGACACAACACCCCCGGAAGGCCCTCCAAGATGTGGTTCATCTTCGTTTGGAAGTGCTCAGGTGCAGATAAAATCGCATATGGAAGCCTTTGAAAGCAAAACCGACCAAATAGGGTTATGAAAGTTGTCAAGAGTTCTGACTCGGCCGCCAGCTTGATTTGCCAGAAGCCTGCCTTGGATTCCAGTTTTGAATACAAAGATGTATTTGAAAGACGGCCCAGGGTTCCTTCCACTCATGGCAAGACCAGTTTCTCGCGCTCAATGTTCTTGTTGAGCTGTGTCAAATCTACACATATTCTGAGATCTCCCTTCGACTTAGGAACCACCATTATTCCAGAACACCACGCGGTGGGTTCTACTTGCTTTATGATCCCGTCCTTTAACTTTTTAGGGGCGAAGCTCCTTAGGGTCTAGACTTGTCCATCCGTCCGGCGTCCGTGCTCACATCGATTGCACTGCCTCCGGGATCGGCCCCCTTTAAAAAAGAAAAAAAAAAAAAGAAAAGCGTACGCTCGCACGGGAGTTTGAACTCAGGACCGCTTGCTTACAAGGAAGACGTCTTAACCACTACCCTACACTCCAACGTTGCATGTAGCCGCTCAACGTCTATACAGGAGAGGGCGCTGCGGTCAAATGCGTACGTAATCGCGTCAAACTTTGCATGCATTGGCTCAACGTTTGTAGACGAGAGGGAGCTGCGGTCAAATTCTGAACTGCGTATATAACCACGAACCATACCACACATTCTCTTTCTGATATGGACCGTTGACTTAAGCGGTGGATATGCGTTCCCACGGCTTCTAGCGGATCGAAGCTGATCCACTAGAAGAACCACTGGCTCTGCATTTCACCGACCATATAAAGCAGTAATATTGAAGTCAAAACGCAACCCGGAACTCAGCGCTACCTATGAGCAATAAAAAAAATCAGCACCATGAGCACTGCCTATGAACAATAAAATCAGTATAATCAGCACCACCACAGCCTCGACCCAATCAACATCATTGACCCCGTGGAGATGCGGCCTCTTTTTCTCAAGTGCCCCTAAACGTAAGGGTACAGGACGGGACGTGTTTACTGAAATTGGAGTGACATCATCAATTAGCTCGATCGTGTATTCCCAATTTAATATTCTAATACCACTGAAAAGTTCCGGATATTTCTGGTGATAATCGGCAGAAGTGGGGTCGGTGACTGAATGCATGAATTTGAGAAGCCCAAGTTCTGTGCTAGCTTCGCGTCCCAGAAGCAGTTCATAAAGGTTTTTGACCACACAGACTTCCTCATGTATCAACTGTTGACCATGTTGAATCATGGCCCGGAACTTCCCAATGACTGTTAACACCTGCCTTCCGGGTCTGAAAAGTTTGGTCGCAGTAGGCTGGACGTTTTCGAAGCTCGATGCCGCATTTTCGGTATGGCACTGACGACGGCGCCTGTATCAATCCTGAACTGGACGAACTTTTAATTAACATTGAGTGAGACTCTCCAAGCCAGGTCAGCAGAAGATATAACACTTCCGAGCAGCCATTCTTCTTGGTCTGTCCCCAGTTAACTTCCTGTATAGACTTTCTCCTGCATACCTTTGTCCAATGTCTTTTTCTGCCACAGTTTAGGCACTTGGAACTGATTACAGGACACTCGGAGTTTGTGTGCACCCACTTGCCACATCTTCTGCGGGTATGAGCTTTCGCGTCATTTCTTGACTCTGAATTTCGCGGAGCCTTCCATTTTTCTTGTCTTTTATCAGACATCGACGACCATCTCCTCTTCTTCTGTTTGCTTGTGCCCTCGGACCACTGCTTGTTGCTTGCGCACGGCTTCTTTCTGTCGAGCTCGTGTGAATGCAGCTTCTAGTGTGAGGTTGGGGTTTCACTGCAGACTTTCAGAAAGAAATTCAT